CATGATATTTTCTTGGCACAGACTACTTGTCGTTCTAGAATTCCATTCTCTAATACATGGCAATTCATTCTTTCCCTTCCCAATTGGCTCTTTCCCCATCGTAGGAATTCTAGACACGAAAAGAATGACCTCATTCATTGATTTGCGGCTCATTGCTCCTGCAGCTTTGAATTAGTAGCCCATGAGGACTAGGTAGGATTTATCTTGTTTGTTGACGTGAAATCGATATTACAAATCCCAAACTCGAACGATTATAATAGCTTGATTCCCATCTGAATGTTATCTGAACAACAGCAAGAATTTCAAAATTACCATCGAACACTCTATCAAAACACTCTCACCCAATTAGACCAATTAACTCGTTTCATCCAAAGCAGACAATCCTCCAACATGTCTTCAAGCGTTCCAGAACAGATCGAGGGATTTACTATCTCTTCCACCGAGAACTGGAGTGATTTAAGAAAGCCAAGGTATGTTCCCCTCGACCATCCAATTGCTCTAAAGAAAAACAACTTTCCTAGAGGCTTCAATCCGGGCTCATCAAGACACTCCACACCATACTCTTTACTAACAACTCTTTTAGTTCCCGCCAAGAAGTTCGAAGCACATGATGTTGACATTGTCAATGAGGTTCGTAATCCTTTACATACTCTGCTTTCTCAGTTCATTTCTTAGTGCATTCTAATGATGGTTTGCTGACTTACCATCTGGATATAGTGCTGCGGAGTCTGCGGTTCTGACGTTCACACCATCACCGGTGGTTGGGGCGATCTAGCCACCACCCCTCTCTGTGTCGGCCACGAGATCATCGGAAAAGTCCTCCGAGTCGGCGAGAAAGTAACACTCGTCAAGCCCGGTGACCGTGTTGGAGTTGGTGCTCAAGTCCAATCCTGCATGCAATGTCCACAATGCAAGAGCGATAACGAAAACTACTGTCCCAAGATGGTTGATACATATATGGCACCATATAATGAGGATGAAGGTCACAGTGATAAACCCATGAAGGATAGCAACGGAAACCAAATCTTCTCACAAGGAGGTTATTCCAGTCATTCGAGAGTTCACGAACAGTTCGTTTTCAAGGTTCCAGACGGACTTGAATCGACTGATGCAGCACCAATGATGTGTGCTGGTCTCACCACATATTCGCCTCTTGTCCGTGCTGGCACTGGACCTGGCAAGAAAATTGCAATTCTTGGTATTGGTGGACTTGGGCATTTTGGTATTCTCTGGGCCAAAGCCTTGGGAGCCGAAGTCTGGGCTCTATCTCATTCCCCAAACAAGAAGGAACAAGCTTTGAAATTGGGAGCTGATCATTTCGTTTCCACCCAAGACAAAGACTGGCAAAAGCCTCTTGCTTTCACTTTCAACTTCATCCTCAACTGCGCAGATATGACCAATGAGTTTGATCTCACTGCTTACATGTCTACTCTTGCCGTTAATGGAGAATTCCACAATGTCGGTCTCCCAGACAAGCCACTTCCTGAATTGATGGCACAAGATTTTGTTAGCAATGGTTGCAAGATCGCTGCATCACATATTGGTTCGCGCAAGGAAGCTCAAGCTATGTTGCAATTGGCGGCTGATAAGAAGATCAAGCCTATGATTGAGACGATTGACATCAGTGAGGAGGGTTGCAAGAAGGCGGTTGAGAAGGTCAAGGTCAATGATGTTAGATATCGCATTACTTTGACTGGTTTTGAGAAGGCCTTTGGTACTAAGGTCGATTACAACAATTAAAAAATGGTAATAATGGAATGGGGTTATGAGATGTTAAGAGAGGGATGAATGGGTTTATGACAATAATGGTTACACTGTACATTAGTTACGAAACGATAAAAGCAATGACGATATTAATAAAGCAACATTTGGTTTTGTAAATGAGTAAAAATTGCCTCAAACTGAATAAATCAAGTGACGGAATTCTTTAGACTGATAGTACTAGAGACTAAAACAACATATAAAGATGTCATGACAAGTACCAGGCGAGCTTGCAATAACATTGCATTCCTCATATCTTCATGGCTAAATACAAAAAGAGGGAAATTGAAAAGCCTTTATTTTTGCGACAGATTAATTGGAAGTGAGATGGATTTGACACTTCACTCATGTCAGGAATGGACAGAGGGTGATATATATATATATAATATATACAAAAGACTATTATTACATACTTCCCCAACGCTGGATATATCATCCACACGATATCCATCTCCTACACCATTTCCAGACAAACATTCAACAACCACCTTTCCTATGTCCTATTTCCTATATTCTATCAGTCGAAACAAATTGTAAGTGGTGAATGCGAGTGAGAGTAAATCGTTGGAGTAGCGAGGTTGATATGCTATGCCATGCTATGCTATGCTATGATTTTGTATTAGAAGTAGATGGGTAAGTGATACGCATATACTATATGTATCTAGGTAGGTATATAGTTCTGTACGGTTTGGGGATATGTAATGAGTTGAGAAGGTCGACTTTTGGGGCGTGGAGATGGATTGGAAGGGAGGGTGATGAGATAGGATGATGAGATGGGATAGAATAAGATACAATACAATAGAACCCCCCCCATCCCATCTAGATACATATCTACATATTTCCATAGAATTGCAATAGATAATACCTACCCAAGTACCTACCTGACTATAGGTATATCCATATAGAATAGTCCAGATAAATAGTCCAAGAATTGCATGCGCGAGGGAGAGGAATATCGGTGGATAGAGAAGGTACCTAGTGACTACATAGGTGAAAGGAGAGAGAGAGATATCTAATGAATAATAGTAACAGTAGTATTGGTTTGATTTCCAGATACAATCAATCTTCTTCCGATTTTCTCAGGGTGATGGATAGATAGATAAACAGTAGGTAGGAATACCTTGTGTTGAGGATCTAGACTTATGAAACTCGCTTCTAATCTGCAGGATTTAGGATGTGTATTCTGAGAGGTAGTTTTTAGTCAAAATGTCTAGGTATTTGTGTTCGACACGATCCAAACATTACATCGTCAAATGAGAAACAAAGCCTAATAATATAAACGTGAACAGCTAGTTCCATTGCATAGAAGACGTTATACAGTACGATTATTGGAATCTCTAGATTCATGCAATTCCTTTCTTCAGCGCTTGTAGAAAATTTTCCTGGCCAAGGTGTTCTTCAACGCCCAATTGAAGATCAATGCCTGGAAGATGTCCAAAAGCAAGATGCCAGGCCTGCGGAGTCCATCAAAAATCCATTTCCCGTCAAGTGACTTCAGGATCCAACCATCCCGAAACACCCATCATCCTGAAACCCATCATATATATAAGTTCCCCCAAATAAAGACCCGATGCTAAAAGACTGGCAAAACTATTTTGAGACAAATTGCGCTATTGAAATAAACATATCTAGTCAGATCCACCCCCAAATTTTGCGCACAAAGAAAAAGATTATGATAATATTCAACACACTCCATATGATCGTTGCATTCATTTTCTCGCTCATGCGCACCAGTCTCAAAGAAATTAGCTTGTATAGCCTTCGAGCCTCCGCCATGCGAGTAAATGCAAATTGTTGTTCGGAGCCTTTCTTCGTGAGTAAAAGTTGTATAGAGGCTTAATATATTTCGTTGCGGAGATACATTTTTGATTCTGTCGAGGGGTCTGAAGTTGCTTTCTTTTGCCGAGGGACCGCTTCTGAGGGACCGCTTCGCCTACAATTTGAATAAATCGAATTCCTCTCTGCCCTTGCTGACCCAATCGTCTTCTAAACTGGCCTGAGAACCCTCGACGGAGGACAAGTTATGTGCAGTGCAGTATCATCTTTGGAATCATCGGTCATCATATCAACTTCAGAGTTTCGATACTCTTTTTCGACCTCAGGACCCGACATTTGTAACCAATGTTTTCTTCTCAAACACCATTCTTGTGCTATGTCCCAAACCATTCCCATTCTAAGACCTTCAGGACATGGCAGAATGACAGTTTGTTGCATAATTCCACTTCGATCATACCTAATTCTCCTCTATCAGCCCAAACTGATAACAAGGAGGTTGGAATACGAGCATATTACGCCAGATCGCATCGGCTCTCTGCTGTAATTGATGTTAGTAAGGAGCTGAAATGGTAGCTTTCCATGGTAAATTAATTGGGATTGAGACAAGAAACCAAGTCATGCCACAGCATCCAAAGCAGAAGTAGAAAATAAAGCAGGACGGAGCAGTCCCATAAATTGCAGACTTACAAAAGCGTCGAGATTTCGCTTCCATGGTAAAGTGTCGAATGCGGTTGAGTCAAGTACATTACGATTCGATATAAGATTAAAATCAAAAAAGATACCGAATTGTTTTTCTAACAGATCTGACCATGTCGACGGTCCGTTATGTATCGCAGGTCGAAACCATTGAGCTCTTTCAAGCGACGGTGAGGTAAGGGCTACCCCCCAACTTCTGCACACAAGTGGAATTGTGGATAAAAGACAAGTCTGGGGAAGATAAGATAAGACTTCATGGAGAAGCTCTGGTATTGCGAATACCCTTGATGCTGCTGAGGTTTCAGTCATGATGAGTGAAATAGATGTGCTTTGATCTGATTTGAAATGTTGATGGATTGAAGTTGAAGTGAAGCTTTTAAAGATATATAGGAAATGAAATCAAGATAGAAAATGCGACAGTGTCAGCATCCCATAGGTGTTGTCTTGCGGTAGATCATCGCATGTATGTACGGGACCAATAATCCCTTGTTCCATTCATGCGGGGGTTGGTGCGGGAAACCTTGATGGGTAGCTGAATGTGATGAATGTGAACAAACGATGCGAGCACACAACACACGTCACTGACTCGATATATTGAGAGGGGAAGGGATCGTTCTTGGCAGTAGATACTCAAGTAATGTCGAATGTGTAAATTTTGATTGTCAACTATACTGCGAGATGATGATATTCGTAACTCCTAACGCCGCCTTCCTGGGTATCTTGGTATCTTATAAAGGTTGGATGGAAAAGGGTGGAACAGCGACTCATCATTTGGTCTTCGTGCGACCTTTTCCCTTTTCATTGGTAGATTTCGCTTTCTCTTGATCGATGAAATCCTTGATGATATCGTGTAAGGCATCATTCCTTCTTGTAACGAGTAACACATCATCCGTCGTTATGGTTGATCGGCCAGCGTGTCGGGAGAAACTTTCGAGATCCATCGTTACATCTCTAAGACGCATCTCCATAAGAAGGGATTGCTTTGACGGATAAGGATGGATATAATATACCTATTTGATGCCATACATCTCAGTCAATGCTCCGATGAATTGATTCGTAGCATTTGAAATTGAGCCGCACGGCTTCTTCCTCCACGATCTTTCCAATTGAAAAACCAAAGAGCTGCTTTAAGAGGTTAAAGCGCTGCGAGTTGTATTGTCAGTAAGTAACATGAGATATGAGTTTTCCCATGTATATAATTACTCACTTCATGGAGCTCATCATCGATCGGAGGCATATTTGAAGAGATAACACGGTATCGTAAGTGGCAGGCAAAGTAAAGCAATAAGGTCAAAATGTCAAAATGCCAATACTTTGAGAATTGCCTTTCTATCTTCTTCTATCCTTCAATTGACATCGAAATTGAAATGGAAAAATCACTGTCGCGTTAAGTCATCTGAGGGAGAACGCGTTTTACCGAAGTCAAGCCGGGACCCTCACTACCTCGACCGCCTCCGAAACTAAAAATTCTAAGAATCCACATTTATATCTCATTTCCCTCAATTTCACTGCGCTGTCAATAATCTCTTCAAAAAGACACATTTTACTTTCTCTTTCCTTCACGTCTAGAGATCTCATAATCTATCTCAAAATCTCGCCGTGTCGCAAGTCTCATGAGACTTATTCTACTGTATGATATAATCCAATTCATCTCAAATTATCTCTCATATACACCCACCGACTTTCCTTGAAAACACTATATATCGACCGCATCATTCATCTTCCAAATTCAGTCCTCAAACAACATCGTACTAGATCAGTCAAATCAACTTCAATCCTCAAAAAACATGGCGGAATTCATAACCAATCTCCTAGAAATGGGAGCTGCCAATTTCTACCGAAATACAACAGGAGCTTTCGCACAAATGAAGGATATGGAACTTCAAAAATGGATTCGAATCGTCGCAGTAGTTGGAGCATACCTTCTCATTAGGCCATACTTCATCAATCTTGGTGCGAAGAAGCAAGAGAAAGAATATGCCAAAGCCAGAGCTGAACAGGCCGAACAAAAGGAAAAGGAAAAGCATGTTGGCGCAAATTCCTTTAGAGATTCGGCCAAGGCTTCCGAGGATACCGACAGCGAGGAGGATGCCAAGGCCACTTCGAGTTATGTCAAATGGGGCGGCAAGGCACGAAAGAAGCAAAGACAGGCAATCAGAAAGATTTTGGATCAGGAGGAGATGTTGAGAAAACAACAGCAAGAGGATGATGAGGACAAGGATATTCAGGAATTCTTTGCACGAATTAGGGGTAGATTGTGGAATAGCTTGCTTGGCATAATAAGGGATGTACATTATAAAGGGGGGATTATATATTGTCAATCTTAATATCGAACTTGAACACATCCTCGTTTTCCTGCGAAAATCTCCCTTTATATTTGTTTTGAGAGGACGATGTACTCGCTCCCGATTATCTACTCACGCTATCATGAGATTATTGTATCCCCCTTGAAGGTAGGTCAGCCAGTATAGAGGAAGTAGAAAGGGCATGTTACGAGGAAATCGAGATAAACACGATTGGAAATCTCCAGGGGACCTGCGGCATCTAGTTTGTCAATCCAAAGTCTGGGTGAAAGGGGGGGCAATCTTGGGGCTGTATTCTTACTGGACAGATGTTTGAAATGGAGGGTTGATAAAGCTGTTCTATGGTCCCAATTATCGAGGCAAAATGTTTCCAAGTAGCATTCAATGTACGTCTTTTCAACGATGCCGTTGCTTACATTTTACATTTTACATTGCCTATATTGCTTGTTACTTATTAGATCCACCGCTCTTTAGTACGACATCACCAGATCGCTTTATTATCCTATTAGCATTCTTCTACTGGTAGATTATATTCGTATGCAACTTTCCAGCTCCTTCTTTTACATGTAGGATCTTTGTGCAGTGAATATCATTTGAATGGTCGAATGAGGGGTCATGAAGAATTTTAGCCGCATGGAAAAAATGTCTGTGTGCGATAACCCACCATAGATGTCTCAGAAAAGGAGGAATCCAGTCATCACTCGTAATTCGTTCCGTCATATCCTACTTCAAACTCTCAATACACGCAAAGTAAACTATTACTATCACTACCACTACCACTGCCAACATCGCTAATAATACCTATTTATACGAATTGATAGTGGTGAGCTATTACGAGAGACAACAATAATAATAATCCTGAATATCCACATATCAAAGATTGAGGGCATTGTCTTAATTTTATCATCTTTCATTCCATCTAATAATACTCACTCAAATCGCATGGACACAAGCTTCATAGCTCATAAGTCCTCTTGATCCAACAACACCATAGAATCAACTAGCTCAAAATTTACACATACCGGCATGGAAAGACCTGATAGACGACAAGAAAGGGATGTCAATGAATTGTTGGCAAATGGATTCTTCCGAACTTCTAGAGCAAGAAGTCCTTCGCCGTATGTTTTCTCCCACCAAGTTTCCCCGGAGGGTTTGATGGTCCGCTAAATCATTATTTAGCTATAGCTATAGAAGAAGAACTCCCAGCCCTCCTCCACAAAACAATTATACATCTAGCTTCCTGGGCACCTCCGATCGTGATGCTGGACGTGCAAGAAGCAGAAGTCGTATTCGACATAGAGGACCACCTCCACCGAGACCAACAGTAGAAGATGAGGCCATTTCACTATCACGAGAATCTGCACCATCTTCTGTTTCCTCATACGATCCTCCTTGTCGTGGTGTTATCGATCAATACCCTATCATACTCGAGTCTGATGTCAGTGAGAGTGAGGCTGAGAGATTACATGCTGCGCCAAGACCGAAAGAATCAAGGGACTGTGATGACAATTCCGAACGACGTTTTGTTCTTGTTCCAGGAACCGATACAAGCTCTAACAATGAATCAGCCAATCAGTATAGAAATGAAGATAGGCAACCCAGAGGCAGACCGGAACAAGCTAGATCAGAACGCCAATCCGCACCAAATGGGGACGAGCATGAGAGGAACAAAATCAACAACGAGCCGGTGCTAAAGCCCCATCCATTGGAAAGGAGAAGAAGTAGGCAAGAATTGCCAAGTATACAGACAAAAGTCCCTCGAGATATTCCGTCAAAGTACCGAAGGAGCGCGTCTGCATATGGTTCCAGGAATAATGACGAAACTCCAAAAGCTCAAGATGTTCCTCATACTTCGACTGGCGAATACTTCCTCTCTCCTAATATGATGCACACTCCTAGGGGCCAGAAAGAGTCTTTCGAATCCGTTGCGCAGCCCGTCCCTCGACACCACTCATTACAAGAGAACTCGAGAAAACGCGGCAATTCTATAAATGAGAAAAGAAATAGTGAAAGCAACTTTCCTAATAGTATATCGCGATCGGGAACACCACTCGCAGCAAAGAGGGACAGTGGAAATTTTGAGATGCCTTCAAGATCAAGGCGGAATTCAAACGACAGAACTGTACAATCACAGCCCACACCTGAAGATGTAAAACGATTCGAGCGACTAAGATCTGGCAAGTCGGAGCGAGGATCCGGATCAGAACGTGCACGCTCTCCTAAAAGATCGGCTACTTCCAACTTGCAGTATTGTAGCAGCAGTGAAGATGATCTTGCAGACAGTGGTTCCGAGCGAGATTCTCAACGAGGTTCTGGGTGTAGACGGCGTGAACACCGCAGGACTAAAGATTTACGGCCAGAAGATGACTATGAGCGTCGGGTAGACTCGCCAAGGTCAAATAGGTCATCAAATCACTCTAAACTTTCATCTCCACTTCCTTCTCCAAAGCTTTCTCCCAATCAATTGCCTAGGACAGAGCCATTTGAAAGAGCAGAGACGTTCCCACAAGGTCGCAGACCTAGTTCAAGACCCATTTCTCCTTTATATGGCCCACAAGAGATTCACCACTCGGAGAGACTTAATCCTTTGAGCCCAGGTTTAGTCCCAAGACCATCTTCTCGTCAGTCAAGTGTCCCAGGCTCAATATCAACGCCACAGATGCAACAAATTCCGGCACCTTTCCCTCTTCCAATTCCTGTTCCAACTAGAATCGACTTACACTCCCCAGGCGAGACTCGACGCACACCAACTGTGACTCAGTATCAGGAAGATCGTCCAGCTAGTACACGACCAGCTCCGAACGATAAGCCCTATTGGCAACCTCCCCCTTTTCAACCTCCTCAGATCCCTTCAAATAAACTAGAGAGACCTGTCGGTAGCTATCGTCGTTATTCGGAAGATGTAGGACGAGATGGCGTTGCGCCACTCCCATCGTGCCCGAGAATGAATCCTACTACTGGCTATCAAGATTGGTTGACGCTTCCTCAGTGTCCCAACTTCGACATTTGTCCAAGTTGCTTCAACTCGATCATAGCACCAACAGGATTTCGAGACCACTTTATACCCGCCCCTCGCAGACCAGACATTGCAATCATATGCGATTTTGGCAGTTCGCCCTGGTATCGAATAGCATGGCTTTTAACGCTGAAGGAGCGAAGAAACGATCTCGGTCTTTTCTATGGTCTCGCGAATGTGGGGGCGGTTGAGGCACCCTGCCCTGGAAAACGCGAAGCGTTTAACAGATCATGGAACTCAATCATCGACCCCAAGACAGGCTTACCAATCAAAAACTTTGATGTTTGTCACTCATGCGTTAGATCGGTCGAAATACTTCTTCCTCCCATCCGTGGTGCATTTGTTCGTACCATCGAAACAGATTATTCTAGCTCCATTCCCCGCATATGCGACCTTCGTTTTGACAGTAAACGCTTCGTTCAATATTTCGATGCTCTAGAAACTACTGCAGATGATGCTGCTTACCACAACTCTTCCCCCGATACCCGCACTCTTGCTAAACTCGCCCGCAAATTTTCCATTCTAGAAGAATGTCAACAAGCTACCGATCTTCCTGACCGCCGCTGGTACATGATCACTCAATTGCCCGAATTTACCGTCTGCGAAGAATGTTTTGACGATGTTATCCTCCCAGAACTAGAAGATGGAAAGGCAATCCCACTCATGTTCAACAAAACTCCACAGCGAATACAAAAAGCTAGTTGTCAATTATATTCTCCAAGAATGAGAGTCATTTTCCAGAAAGCTTGTAACTCGGATGATTATATGCTTTTGGCTACCAAGGCGAGAGAGAGAAGAAATGCAGAGTTGGCCTGGAAAGTTAATGTAGCGGCTACCAAGAGGCAGAGTAGGGAGAGTATGGTTGCGAATCCAGGAATAGGGAGAGAGATTCAGAGATTGAATGATGAGTGGAGGAAA